TTCCCAGTAATGGAATTGCTGGGTCAAATGGTATCTCTATTTGCAAGTTTTTGAGAAAGCGCCACACCGCCTTCCACAGTGGTTGCACCATTTTATACTCCCACCAACAGTGAATAAGGGTTCCAGTTTCTCCACAACCTCACCAGCATTTGTTGCTTGCTGTTCTGTTAAATTTTGCTATTCTGTCTGGGATGAGATGATATTTCAGAGTTGTTTTAAGAAAACATTCTTGAGCTGATACTCTGAATTTGGATTGATGGCTTTATAAACTATGAAAGAATAAAGGATTTCTTTAAAACATCCAATTAATAATAGCAGTAAATAACCTACATGTTTTGAAGTTATTTAAAAAAAATATTTCATTCCTTTAGGCTCGCCCTGTGATCCGACTTTCATCCTGGGCTGTGCACCCTGTAATGTGATCTGCTCAGTTGTTTTCCATCATCATTTTGATTATAAAGACCAGGATTTTCTTAACTTGATGGGAAAACTCAATGAAAATGCCAGCCTTCTTAGTTCACCATGGATGCAGGTAAAGCCAAAGCTGTTAATTCCTGAAAATTATTTATGCTTAATTCTCTGAGAAATACAAAGTTTTATGCAGAGAGAGCTACAAAATTTATAAAAATCTTGTTTAGGGTTAGTTAAAGATTGAATTGTGTCATCTCAAAATGATGTAAAATAAATTCTTGACCCTTTTTCAGATGCCATTTTAAGTAAGGTTATTTTGAGTACATTTCTTTTAAGATGTAAGAGCAATTAAAAAACAAGCAAGTGATCAAACAGAGGCGAAAAAGAGAGATGCCAACCTACAAAAATATTGTCAGGAACAGAAACTCATGCAGATAAGGGTCTTCCTGCAGAGCTCATGTAGAAAGAAAGCATTTCCCTAGACCTGGCTTCCTGAAACAGGACCTATGGCCTCCTAGCTTGTGAGAAAGGAGATTTCTCTTACTATTGAGCCACATGCTCATAGTATTTTTGTTATAACAGCACTAGATAACTAAGACAGGATCATGAAGTGAACATCACCAAAAGATCCTGCTGCCTTTTCTTTTCCATACTAGAAAATGATACCTAAGGGATAGATGTTTCGAAGCCAATGAGCTAGCTCCCTGTCCTGTCTTCTTTCCCGCTTTACTCCTAACCCAAGTACTCTGATGACTGTCAAAGAAGCATAGACAGAGTACTCAAAGGAGATTCAAAACCCTTGATGAAAGGCTTTCATTGCACATATAAAGTTGTTTCCAATCAATACCTATTGACCTCCTTCTCCGATTCCTTGTGAAAATAGTCTATAATAGGATATTAAGGAGTTAGGAGGTTGAAAGCACAGACACTACCAGGAAGTGCTTATTAACACACGACTCTTTGATGCTTCAGCTGTGATTCCATAGATAATGCTTATTTGTTAGGGATGAAAATATTATACTAAATACAAAACATTGTTTTCCCTTGCACTAATCTGTTACAGTGTGGATGTGTTCTGTCTAAATGATAATTGCATGATCTGAAAGTATTCACTGACATGCTCTTTTTCATAGCTTTTTTATTCATGATATGCTAATTTCAAATCTATCTCAGTTCCATACTACTATTGCTGGTGGGGAAGAAGCAGTCTAACTAGTTTTGCTCTCTAGATCCAGTTAACTTCTATTTTCATCACAAAATATGAACACTGCCAATTTATCACGTGCTCTATTCCACAATCCATGTAAAATTAGAATATTGGTATAAATACAGTTCTATTCTTTCATGTAGAAGACCAGAAAATAATTGTTTTAATAATCATTGTTTTATCTCTTTTGTCTTTTTAGAAACCTATAAATAAAAATATTCCCTTCAAGTTAGGAATTCTAAACCAGTTTCTATCTAGGGCTTGGTATATGGCACATGTGAAATACTTATTCTTCTCTCTCTTAGGTCTGCAATGCTTTTCCTATAATCCTTGATTATTTTCCCGGGAGTCATAAGAAAGTACTTGAGAATGTCAAGTATATGGAAGCCTTTTTTTTGGAGAAAGTTAAAGAACACCAAGACACTCTTGACATTAACGATCCTCGAGACTTCATTGATTGCTTCCTGATGAAAATGGAACAGGTAAAACGTTAGTGACATAGAAGTTGTTTGGTTACTTGTATAATTTTAGTACATTAAATGGGTCCATGCTTACTCTGCTGTTCTTGTCTGCTGCTGTCAAGCTGACAACTACTTGGAAGCAACTTTATGAACCTTGCCCTGTCCTGTCCCATTCCCACAATCTGTCATATCCTAGAGCCCAGTGCTACGGTCACTGTCTCAGTTCATCTTGTGGGAGGTCTTCTCTTTCTCTGACCCTCCACTTTCCAAACTTGATGTCTTTTTCTAAAGAATGTCCTCTCTTGACACGTATGTGAGAAGTTTTTCCATCCTTTCTTCTAAGAACCACCCTGTTTGCATTTCTTCCAAGGTGGACTTATTTGTTGTTTTGGCAATTTATGGGAGTCAGCACTCATCCTTAACACCATAACCTGAAGGCTCAAACCCATCTTTTGTCATATTTATTGATTGTCCAACTTTCAGATGCACAGCAAGTAACTGAAAAGACCATGACTTAGACAGACATACCTTACTCGTTAAACAGACATAATTTTATAGGTGTTTTTTATTGTTCTGCATACAATAATTCATATATATTGTATCTTTTATCATTAATTATTATTAATCTAAACTTATTTTCTCCTCTTCTCTTTAAGCCCTCATGATACACTTTCCTATTTCTCCCCTCCACCCACTAACCTCCGCTATCCTAGTGACATTCCCCTCTTCTTCTGTTCCTATTTCCCCTTTCTTTCTTTTCAGTTTTGAACATATATCTTGCTCAGTGAAAAGAGGATAAATGAACAGGAGGAAATGGATAAACTGACACCACTTTTCTTTGGAGAAGTACTTGACAGCAGATGTTCCAATATTTCTTTTGATACCTGATATGACTGTAAATGATTAGACAAGTGATGTTTGCCAAGTATTGTAGATTCCTGTCACGTGCATGGTGAGAATCTTTGTTTTCTTGATGTTGAGTTTCAATCCATATTGAAGGTTGCAGTCCTTGACCTTCTGTAGCAAATGCATTAGGTCCTCCTCAGTTTCAGCAAGCAAGTTGTATTATTTACATAATGCAAGTTGTTGGTGAGTCTTCCTCCAATCCTGATACTACATAACTCCTCATAAAACCCAACCTCCCAGATGACCTTTTCTGATATAGACTGTAAAAGTGGGGAGATAGGAGGGATCCCTTGTAAACACCTTTCCTGATTTTGAACCATACAGTGTTTTCTGGCTCTGTTCTCATAACTGCCTCCTGGTCCAAGTATAGATTTCACATAACTGCAATCAAGTGTTCTGGGATTCTCATTTTTCTCAGAATTAGCCACAGTTTGTTGTGACCCACAAACTCAAATGCCTTTGCATAGTCAATGAAACAGAGACAGACAATCCTCTGGTACTCTCTGCCTTCAGCTAAAATCCATCTAACACTGGCTATGATACACCTAGCACCACCAACTCTACTAAATCCAGCCCGAACATCTGGCAACTCCCTGCTGATAATTTCCACACTCTGTTAGGTCACATTTTTTTGGAATGGGAATAAATATGGATCTTCTCTCGTCAGTTGACCAGGTAGTTGTCCTCCTGATTTCTGGGCACAACTTGATGAGCACATCAGGGTAGCATCTGTTTTTTGAAATATGTTCGTAAGTATGCCATCAATTCCTGGGGCATTTATTTTTTGACAGTTCCTTCAGAGGGCATGAACTTCCTTCTTCATCACCATTGGCTCTTGGTAATATGTTGATTCATGAAATTTTTCTGCGTCAGCCAATTTTTTTTGTATAGTAACTCTGTGTACTCCTCCTATCTTCTTTTGATGCTTCCTGAGTTATTAGATATGATGCTTCCTGAGTTATTAGATATTATGCCCACAGCATCCTTAAATATTACAACTCACTGCTTGAATATGTTCTTCACTTCCTTTCATTGGTAAAATTGGCAGCATCATACTATATGCTGAAGATATTGAGACTGTTAACAGGTTCAGCTTGGTTGGCTCCTCAACCAACATCTTTGATATCAACAGTTAGGAAATCAAAAGATGAATGGCATTGGGAAAATGTCCTGTCACCAACCTCACTAGAGTGCTGAGGAGAAATGATGTTAGTCTAGAGACTAAGATGTGCCTGATCCAGTTCATGGTCTTTGCAACTACTTGCTATGGATCAAAGAGCAACGACTAATGATGACAGAAGAATTGATGCCTTTTAGGTGTGGTACGGGGGAGGGGGGGAGGGATTGTGTACCAATGAGGGAGTTTTTCTTTTGCTTTTCAAGGAGAGGAGCAAACGAGGCGGGGAGGGGTTTGTGCGGGGAGAAGGGTGCAACAATGAATGAATGGAATTCCAAAATCTCTGTAGATGTTCATTGAAATGAAAAAGAAATAAATTAAAATATTTTTTTTAAAAGAGTACTGAATACACTGTGGGCTGTGAAGAGAAGAAACAGCTTCATCTTAGGGAGGGCGAAACCAGGCTGCTTCTTGGAGGCAAGAATTTGGAAGCTCTGACATACTTTGGGCATGTTGCAAGGAAGACCAGGCCTTGGAGAGGGTTGTCATGCTTGGGAGTGTAGAGTGACAGCACAGGAAAGAAAGATCCTTCATGAGATGGATTGATTCAGTGACTGGGGAGATAAGGGTAGATGTGTCAGAGACAATAAGATTGGCACAGGAGAGAGCAGATTTCAGGGCTGTTGTACATAGCGTTGATGAGTCACAAGGGACTTGATGACACATAACAACAACACCATGTGCATTGATCAACAATAATCCTTATCAGGAAATTTTTAAATTACATTATTTTGAATGGTTAAGAAATGAATATAAGTAGACCTTCTTCTTTATTGCTTCTCTTATTACTATTGAGTCAACTCATAATGACCTGAACATCAGGCCAAAACCTTATCCTTCATCATCCTGACAATCTCCACTATGAAAAGTCCACTGTTGATGTCACTCTGTCAGGTCATCTTGTTAAAGGTCTTTCTTATCCTCACCCTCCTCCATTCCACATATCATATCATTTTCTGAGAGTTTCCTCCACTTCAAACATGATCAAAGTATATAAGATGAAGTCTCATCATTCTTCCTTCCAAGGAGCACTCTGGATACACTTTCTCCAAGAGAGTTTTATTTGTTTTTATGGGAAATAACCACGGCATACTTGATATACATTCCCAATACAACAATTGAAAGACGTCATGTCTTTGATCTTCCTTATTACTGTCTATCTTACACACGCTTATGAAGGAATGGAACATTCCATGGCTTGGATCAGGCACACCTTAGTATTTAAAACTGACATCCTTGTACTTCAGCACTTTCAAGAGGTTGTTTCACTCAGGAGAACATCTTTTGATTTTGACTCCTCTTATTTCGAGTTTTGATTGTTATGATCTTTGGGTACTTACAATCAGCCCAAAGAGAAGGAAAGTGCCCACCAAAGATGAAATTGATACAATTAAAACAATTTAGAAAATATTAAATGTCATTTTATCAAATGAAGATAGGAAACATCTTTGCTCATAGTGAATGAGAAAATGAAAAAAAAAATTTCAGTAAGAGGAGAATGCATTTCAGATATGTTGAATGGTATACACACACGTTTGTGGTGGCAAAGAGATAAGGTAGGTGGAAGGGAAAAGCCTCAGTGGGCTATAACCAGAAATTAATTAGAGCAGTCACAGAGTTGGAAGTTTTTGTCCATCAGATAACCTTTAGTATGGATATTGACATGAAAAGTTTCATATGTGATCATGTAGATGTGGTGTTCAAAACACAAATAAAAATGCCAATAATTACAAGGGAAATGATTATAAGGATTGTTTAGAATGATCTGTCTGACAAGAATAGAAGTCAAGATCAATTAGAAGATTGTTTATTTATTTATGCTCAGTTTCAGTGGCACTGTGGGCAGCCACTCTGTCAATCCATCATGTTGAGGCCTTCCTAATCTTCTATTTGTCAAGTATGATATCTTTCTCAAGAGATACCTCTTCCTGATAACATGCATAAAGTTAGTAAGACAAAAATCTCACCATCTTGCTTCCAAGGAACATACTACTTCTTGTTGTTACTGTTTGACCTTAGGTGTCATTGAGTATGACCCATAGTGACCCAAGGAACAAAAGGTCTGAACCCTATTGTATCCTGTGCTATCTTCCCACTTCCCAATACTTAAGAGGCTGTTTGGTAGTCACTGTGTCAATCCACCTCGTTGAGGGTCTCATGTCCTTCACCAACCCTCCACCCTTTACAGTATCATGTCCCTCTCCAAAGAGTCACCCCTCCTAGAAACATGCCCGAAGTATGTGAGATGAAACCTCAGCATTCTTGCCTTCAAAGAGCACTCCAGCTACAACCTCTCCAAGACATACCTGTTTGTTCTCTTGGCCATCCTTGGGATGTTCAGAGCTCTTCTCCAACACTAGAGCTCAAAGATGTCAATTCTGTTTTTTGTCACCCTTATTCACTGTCCAGCTCTCAGATGTGTAATAAGTGATCAGAATGACTATGGCCTGAATCAGACACATGTTAGTCCTCACATTGACATCAATACTCCTCAATAACTGCAGATTTTCCCAGTGCAATGCTTGTCCTTATTTCCTGACTGCTGGTACCAAGGCTGTTAAATTGTGGGTCCAGGCAAAATGAAGCTGTTGACAGTTTCAGTCTCCTTTCTATCCATCATGATGTTACCTATAAGTCTTATTGCAAGATTTGTTTGTTCTTTTGATAGTCTATGATACATTCAGTACTCACCAACTTAAAGACATCAAATCTTCTGTGGTCTTCTTTATTCATTGTCCAACTTTCACAATAATATGAGAAGACTGAAAAATACCATGGCTTGGGACAGGCACATGAAACCCTTCAAAGTGACATCCTTTCTCTTTAACACTTTCAAAAGGTCTTTGGAATAACATTTACCATTTCAATCTATTACTTCATTTCTTAATTACTGTTTCCACAGACATTAATTGTGAATCAAAGTAAAATTATATCCTTGATGATTT